TTTATTTGGTTAAGGGGGGGGGGGGGTTTGGGGTTGGTATGGATAGGCTTGTCCACTCCTACTTCCACCATTGCCTATCTATGGTGCAGTAGTCAAGAAATGCCCGTAGCGAATAGGGAAGAATGGAAATAGCGCAGGGCATACATGACTAGGCCCAGAGTGGTTTGGGAATGGAAAGGGTTAAAAATTTAGCTCAAGGGGTGGGGAATGGGATTGGGAATAATTGGATTGGCAGACATGGAGTGTAGGAGGTGTCTGTGGCACCGTAGGGTGGGGGGTTGCTGCGGAAGGGGCGTCATTGCAGCTGGATGAGTGCAAGGACCTGAGCTTCCCTCCCGCCCTCCCTGTTAGGTATCGGGTCTTGTCCGGGGGCAGGTGCGCGGGTAAATCGAGCACAAATGCAAAATAACAAAAATACAAAAAAAAAAAAAAAACCCTGGTTGGTGGGGGGTTTTATGTTGGTTCGTGGGCGGTTGTCGGTCTTTGGAGGCGGTTCTCATCTTGGAAGGAAAACAATGGTGTGGGACCCCATCCGTGGTATGGGGGGCCCGGTGGATATTCCCAGTTAACCAAGGTTTAGCTGGAAGGTGGTGGTGCTGCACTGCGGACGGTATGGTTGTCTCCGAGCTGGTTGGTTGCGGCTGGAGGCCTAGTGTATAGGGTTGTCCGCAGGTGCATTTTGGATCGTTTGTGGGTGCCTTTGAAGACCAACAAAAATTCTTTGGTTTCGTTAAGGAACGGTTGATGTATGTAAATTGTGAAGTTGTTAATATAAGGCCATGTTGGCCATTTACTCTCCAAAAATGGTGTCATGTTTTTGTAACGTTTATTTGGTTAAGGGGGGGGGGGGTTTGGGGTGGTATGGATAGGCAATGGTGGAAGTAGGAGTGGACAAGCCTATCTATGGTGCAGTAGTCATGCAATACTTTGGGTTTATTGGCTCCCTCATGAACCGCTGTGTGTTTGAGTATAATATAATGTAACAGACATTAGACTGAGTTTTTTGGAAAGAGAGTCTTATATAAATGGCTCTGTGTAGCCATAATGAGGTCTGCTGAACCCCAAACTGAATGAACAGAATGGGAAAATTATACTAAACACAGTTCCACCCTTATTTCTCCATAATTTGCAAATCAGCAATGAAAATGGTTTGATCTAAATATCATGTCTGTGCAAGGCATTCATGGGATTTAATCCAGTTGACAAAAGAAAACAATCTACAGAAAATAGCCCCACGTTAGACAGAAGGCAGGAAAATTAGCTGTCAGGCAAAGGGTCACAAAATTTCTAGCAGTATCATAAGCAGTACTTAGCGATAAAAACAATCAGATTTCAATCTAATATCTGTGCTAGACATTCATTGGGATTTAAAACATTTTACAAAAGAAAACTTTCCAGTTAACAGCACAATTGATAGAAAACAGTCATAGGTTATATGGAAAGGAGAGAAAGCAAGATGGCAGACAGGAGATCGTAAAACTTTTAGTAGTGTCATAAACAGTACTTTGCAGAATAAGAAAAACCTCTTAATTCAGGCTTGTCGTAAATGACCTGTTTTAGATCCTGTCTAGTAATAAAATACACATCTGCAAGTCTGGGTTTTTGCCTGAGATCAAACTACCAGAGCTAAACAATAAATAGTTTCCATAATTCCTACTATGATGAAAATAAGAAATTAACAGTCAGTTAGACACCAAGCATGCCTTCAGTAAATTAACAGAGTAGAAGACTACAAAATACCATAGATTAGTATCTGTATTTTTCGCTCCACAAGACGCACTTTTTTCCCCCCCAAAAGGGGGGAAAAATGTCAGTGCGTCTTATGGAGTGAATATGAAGCGACCGGTCCGGTATTTCCGCCGCCGCCACCATGTCAGAATATCGGGCCGGCCGCTCAGCTGTTCTCTCCTGTAGAACCTTACCTGTTCCTCGGTCCAGTGTTGTAAAGTCTTCTCATGCCGGCTTCTTCCTGCACTGGCTTCTGTGACAGCCGGGTGCCCACTGCGCATTCACTTTGTGAATGGTCCGGCGACTTCTGGGACACATGACAGGTCCCAGAAGGCGCCGGGCCATTCACAAAGCGCAGCGCTTCTCGACACTAAAGAAAGGACAACTCAAATTCAGGTACCCACTCCCCCTCCCTCCCCTAAGGTCCGCAGTCTCTTGGTCATTCCCTGTACTGTCTGCAGTCTCTGGTCATCCCCTGTACTGTCTGCAGTCTCTGGTCATCCCCTGTACTGTCTGCAGTCTCTGGTCATCCCCTGTACTGTCTGCAGTCTCTGGTCATCCCTGTACTGTCTGCAGTCTCTGGTCATCCCCTGTACTGTCTGCAGTCTCTGGTCATCCCCTGTACTGTCTGCAGTCTCTGGTCATCCCCTGTACTGTCTGCAGTCTCTGGTCATCCCCTGTACTGTCTGCAGTCTCTGGTCATCCCCTGTACTGTCTGCAGTCTCTGGTCATCCCCTGTACTGTCCGCAGTCTCTGGTATTTTCCCTGTACTATGTTCACAGACTCTGGTCATCAGTACTATGTCCGCAGTCTCTGGTCATTCTCTGTACTATGTCCACAGTCTCTGGTCATCTCCAGTAGTGTGTCTGTAGTCATCTCTTGTACTGTGTCCGCAGTCTCTGGTCATCTTCTGTACTATGTCCGCAGTCTCTGGTCATCTCCTGTACTATGTCCGCAGTCTCTGGTCATCTCCTGTACTATGTCTGCAGTCTCTGGTCATCTCCTGTACTGTGTCTGCAGTCTCTGGTCATCTCTGTACTATGTCTGCAGTCTCTGGTCATCTCCTGTACTACGTCTGCAGTCTCTGGTCATCTCCTGTACTGTGTCTGCAGTCTCTGGTCATCTCCTGTACTGTGTCTGCAGTCTCTGGTCATCTCCTGTACTATGTCTGCAGTCTCTGGTCATCTCCTGTACTATGTCTGCAGTCTCTGGTCATCTCCTGTACTATGTCTGCAGTCTCTGGTCATCTCCTGTACTATGTCTGCAGTCTCTGGTCATCTCCTGTACTATGTCTGCAGTCTCTGGTCATCTCCTGTACTATGTCTGCAGTCTCTGGTCATCTCCTGTACTATGTCTGCAGTCTCTGGTCATCTCCTGTACTATGTCTGCAGTCTCTGGTCATCTCCTGTACTACGTCTGCAGTCTCTGGTCATCCCCTGTACTATGTTCACAGACTCTGGTCATCTCCTGTACTATGTCCACAGTCTCTGGTCATCTCCTGTACTGTGTCTGCAGTCCATTGGTTCAGAATATTTTTTTTTCTTGTTTTTCACCTCTAAAATCTAGGTGCGTCTTATGGTCAGGTGCATCTTATGAAGCGCGAAATATGGTAAATGCATATTTGGTCTCTATCAAATTGTAATTTCATTCTTTGTAATAATATATTTGGTTGTCTGTTGGAAATGTAGATACATTCAGAAAAACTGGCATTAAGGGTGTGTCAGCTGAAAATCACAAAACACTTCACCACCCCTTCAGCACCTTTCATGCCCTTTGATTGGTTATGTTAATTCTGTAAACCTCATGAACCAGAATAGGTGGCTGCTTTAGCAGCTCACAGCTTTCACTTAACAACCAGAACTATAAAGAAAAGCTATGGGTCATTCGTGAGAGCCAATAAATCTAATACAGTAAATCATATTGAACATACCCTGCAGTGCAACTGAACTTTGTAAAGTGCTTTTCACATTTATTCCAATTTATTTTATTGTTGCTAATTTTCTGTTTTGTAATATATTTTTTACAAATATTTTCTTGCACCATTTTTTATGTATTTCATTAAAACAATACTTAAAAAATCATTAAGGCCAATCTCTAATGCTCTAACCCAAATGTAAAGAACATATAGTGGTTGATTTAGTAAAGGCAAATAATTTGTGCGGTGCAAGTGCACTTCATAAAGTCCTTCCACAATAAAGTGACCATAGGTGTATGAAGGTCTTCCCTCCTTATTTAGGTGACTGGTATCAGATAGAAAAAAATGCGCACTCACCGACCGCACATTTTAAATGCGCCTGTGTACACTCTTAAGCGGATGACCAGCCAGACATGCAGATCCTAAGGACACATGGACCATCCCTCTCAAATACTGACATCGGCCTTGGGTGCAGTACTATACCTCCAGGTACAGAGAGCCCTTTCATTCCAAAAGATAGGCAGGCAGGGGTCCCCCCTCCTGGTTCCAGGTACCCCAGAAGTGATAGATGCAGATCTGAAACCCTCCAAAAAGAGGGTCAAAAAAGAGGGAATGCCAATAGTGTAGTAGGTTCAAGAACTTTATTGATCAACAGTAATTAAGCCAGGGTTGCATGTACACACAGATACCGTTAGCCGTCAAGCAGACTGGTAAATATGAAAAATAAACATGTACTAACCCGGCAAGGATCAAAGACCACCGGACCTCCTAGTGGTCCCAGTGGTCAGGAAGTCACACTTGCTACTGGCTCCTCCTGAGGCCTTTCGTGCTACAGCACTTTCATCAGAGGGTTGGATGCCATTAGCAGTGTGACAGAGAACTTCCCTATTTAAATGCGGTTCGCGCATGCCCGAAAATCCCGCTCTAATCGCTCATAATCTAAAACATGGGACCGCGCATGCGCGAACGGCCGCCATTTTGGCGTGGATCGCGGCTGTGCAGAAACGAACTGCGCATGCGCCGCCCGATCGCCGCCATATTGCCATGGCAATATGGCGGCGATCGGGCGGCGCATGCGCAGTTCGTTTCTGGGTTTCAGATCTGCATCTACCACTTCTGGGGTACCTGGAACCAGGAGGGGGACCCCTGCCTGCCTATCTTTTGGAATGAAAGGGCTCTCTGTACCTGGAGGTATAGTACTGCACCCAAGGCCGATGTCAGTATTTGAGAGGGATGGTCCATGTGTCCTTAGGATCTGCATGTCTGGCTGGTCATCCGCATAAGAGTGTACACAGGCGCATTTAAAATGTGCGGTCGGTGAGTGCGCATTTTTTTCTATCTGATACCAGTCACATAAGGAGGAAGACCTTCATACACCTATGGTCACTTTATTGTGGAAGGACTTTATGAACTATTTTTATTTGTACTCATTTTAATCATGTTCATTTTTAATTGATACACCAGCGCTGCACTATATATTATTATTCTTGTTTAAAGGTCCAGTGATTCCTTAGAGTGTTCCAGCAGCTGAATTTTGAGCGCTCGCTTTATCTTTATGCAAGTGCACTTCAAGTTTCCTGCAAGTGCAGTTGCTGTAGATCTGAAGGGAAGATCTGAAATGAAGGGAAGCTCTCCTGATTTCTATCATCCAATCATGTGCAAGCAAAAATACTGTTTTTTCTTTTCCTTGCATGTGATTGGGTATTCTTTGGAAAGTGAAGCTTTACGTAATTTAAAGTGTTACTAAACCCACAACAATAAAAATCAGTCTGTATATGCAGTAAAGCATGCTTGTTATATTCACTGTGGAACCTAAGGGGTTCATTCTCTGCATTGTGTAAAAATGCTGTTTGATCCTGACTTCTCTGATCCTCCCCTTCTTCCAGTGTCCTCCTCTTATCTCCTGATAAGACACATCTTGTGGAGTCACTCTGCACATGCTCAGTTTTGTGTGTACTGCTAAGGAGATTTTTTTTTTTTTACTTGAGAGAGTGCGTGTGTGGCCATCACAGGGCCAATCAACACTGTCCAGACAAAGGTCAGGGGTCCTACATCCTCCTAAAGCAGAAAGAAAACTCCTTGTACAAGCTTTAACCAGTGTTCTGCTGGACACTGATAGAAGTCACAAGACTGCTATAACTGCTGACAAGAAAAGGTATTTAGAAGTTTATATTTACTAAAATTAATTGCATTTCCATGTTCTGTGGGAGAGACCAGATATAGTGCATGCAGGGTCTTGGGTTTAAGAACACTTTATTAAGCTCTGGAGTATCTGCACTTGCAGTGCACAGTATATTTGCCTTTAGTAAAAAGACTGCTGTAAATATGTATTGTGGCGTACTACAGCTAACAGAATATTTTTAATTCTAAAGTTGCCATAAAAAAACACATTTCATGAATTCAGACAGCATACATTAATAGTTTGTTTATTGGGCACAAGCGTATACAGTATGTGTATCAAACATTTGATGAGTTATAGGTTTTCTGACTTTAATTTCAACGTTCCCAATAAAATAATTTAAAAGCCTTAATGTCAACATGGAAGGACTTTTTGTGGATTGTCCATTTATGGGTACATCTTGAGGGCAAAAAAAATCCTCTCCTTATAAAGGTCTTTTCAATTTTTATAAAATCTCTAATGTCTTGCATGTGGTACACCTTTGTGGATCATATGTGGGGACCAATTTTGGGTCCTAGGCTGCTAAACCGATAATGATGAGGATGTTGTTTATCAGATGGGCAATTAGTGGTTGTTGGGGAGGTGCTCCTAAAACAAACTTTTACATGATCAAGTGATGTATTATTAATCTTTATTAGCTAGGAAAATAACATACAGCCAATACCAAACCTAATAATCTGGTTTGGGATGAACTGGATTCACATTGACTTCAGCTCTTCTCAAGCCAGTTCATTACAGTGTGTTGAGCCTGGATCTAATCATGAGATTCTGTCTAAGCCCCAAAGAAGTGGGAGGTCACAACTCAACAAAGGCATTGTCTATATACTAAGTTCCTAGTAAAGAGTCTTAGTAAGTCACTTGATTTTGCAACTGTTTGTTATAGACATTCACTACAAGACCACTAATAATTTGTCTCGCTTGCTACTCATAATTAGTGAATTGTGTGTGCATTGCTTCAATCCATTAGGTTCCTGCACAACCAAGGACAGGGAGATGACTTTCTGCCTGTCATTGTATGGGAGACATTTGTTTCATAAATGGCCAATGTAAGGGTCCTTTTCACACGGGCATTCTATATGTCCATTTTTCACCTGTCCGTTTACAGATGAAAAATGGACACCCATGTATTTCTAGCAAATGTCAACGTGTGATCATCCATTTATATCTGTTATTAAAGTCCGCATCCGTTAACATCCGTTTTTTTAAACGGAAGAAAACCCTATTTTTCTTTTGTAAAAAAAACCCTGAATGGACAACAAACTAGGGATGCACCAAAACTTTGGAAACTGAAACGTTTCGGCCCAAAACACCCCTTTCAGCTGAAATGAAAAAAAGCACTAATACAGGTGCCGAAAAAATCCCACCCCTCGCCGCTGCCTGCCCGCCGTCTCCGCTGCCCGCCTTCCGTCTCCACTGCCCGTCACTGCTGCCGCTCGGTAGTTCTCAGCCATCCCGGCACTGGGCATAGAGATGACTGAAGGAAAGATGGCCTCCACTCATCTCTATGCCCTTGGAGGACTGGAGTGTTGTCACTTCTGGTTCCAGGCATTTTTTTTTTCAAAGCACTAGATCAATGCTTGTTTTTGACCCAATGTTTTACATTGCAGAGGAGAGATGTCGGGTCTTATTGACCGCATATCTCTCCATAAAGAGGACCTGTCACTAATTATTTCTATCACAAGGGATGCATGCCTTTCTTGATGATAAGAATAAAAGTGATTACATTTTTTTTAAAGGAACATTGCAAAAAAAAAAAAACATTAAATACATTAAAAAAAAGTTTAAAGTGCCCCCGTCCCCCTGTGCTCGCACGTAGTGGTGAACACATATGTAGGCCATGCCCACATATGTAAATGGTGTTCAAACCACACACTTGAGGTATCGCCACGAATGTCAGAGCAAAAGCATTAATTCTCGCACTAGACCTCCTATGTAGCTCTACACTATTAATCTGTAGAAAATTTTAAAGCATCACCTATGGAGATTTTTAAGTACCGCAGTTTCACGACATTTCACGAGCGTGTGCAATTTTAGAATGTCACATGTTGTATCTAATTACTCGCCATAATATCCTCTTTCATATTTTACAAAAAATTGTTTTATTTTGTTTTTTTAATCAAAGTGTATTTTTTCTAAAAAATATATATTCATTTTTAAAAAC